ATTCATTGTTTAATTGATATAATTACTCGGAACAAACTTTATAGATCTTCACATGTTTGAGAAAATTCAAGTGATACCATTTGAGTAAAAATATGATTTAAATCCCGATTATTTTACATCTTGAATTCAAAGATAAGTAGCTAACGGAAGACGGGAAACTTGTAACTCTTAGGCATCTGATGGAATGGTCCAAACTGAGTGAAGCGGTAAAGGGAGATTTAACATCTAGGCAAACATTTAAACTGACATTCGCGAGATACGCCACTCATTAAATGATAATCTTTTGATTTTGGGACGACACGTAAACATAATAAGTGTAGTATGATGTTTTATTATGTTAAAAAGACATATTTCCCTTGGTTGGACATCACGTAAGCGATTGAAGGCAAAACTATATCAAAACTATATGTTCAATGTATAATACAATCGATACAATTATTAGTCCAAACGTTCAACAAAACTGTAAATTTGGAATTTTTTTACTTTAATAAGCAAATATTCAAAAGCAAAAAAGCTTGTAAGCCACAACCCCCAAATTTACTGATATCTTATAAATGACTTGATTTGTAAATCAATTATTTCAAAATGATTTTCTAAAATTGAACATTTCATTTTCTTAAAACCTCTTCCAGTGTATCATGTGTTATATTTTAGACGCAATTACACATTTAAGATAGCCAACAGTGTGTTTTGCATTAAGATCCGAGGTGAAGTTACCAAAAGTAATAAAATTTCCAAAAATACGTACGTTTCAGGATGAACACTTCATTCTAAATTGTCAAGTATGATAATTAAAGAAGTGATTTTCGTTTAATTTATGAGATTTAGGGTTTGTTTGTTTTTTGCAAAAAACCTCTTATTACCTCTTAAGTCTGATTCAGTCAGACATTTTTATTTTCAGACTGTTGATTTTTTTTGTAAATAAGAGCTGAAAAGCTCTTACCGTCCTCTGAAATATTCAGTGCACAACCGAACTCTGAAATCAATTTCACTCTTCTCCTCCAGATCTCGTTCTCACTCTTGATTTCACTTTGATATATCAATTCTCTGTAGATCTCGCTTTCAGCTCTCAATTTCACTCTCGATCTTAAACACTTCAAGCTCTGGGTCTCAATCTCTTCTTCTTCCTCTCGATCCAAGCAGCTCTCGATCTCTTCTTCTGCCTCCTGGTATCTAAAGAAAGGTAATAGGTCTTATGTTTATATGTTTTCTTTTTATTTGATTTGGCATAAGAAACGCCATGGAAATACCTGAGGATCGATTTGGGTTTTCTAAAATAGTTGACTGTTTATTTGTTTTCTTGATTTGGGTAGATCTGTTTATTTGGTCTTTCTTGATTTGATTGCATTTGGTGAATTCCCTTTTTGAATTATTGCATTAGTTGTTTTCACTGTAGTTTGCAATGAAACATACATGTTCCGATGTTTATCCTTGTAGTATTACAAAGTGTTCTTTATACTATCTTGTTGATGATTTATTGTTGTTAGGGTTTTGTGAGGTTTACTTATATTGTGTTTGGGCACGATCAAGCCATCCTGATCTCTGGTTTGTTTTAATTCTCTTTATTGCTTGGTTGTCTCGTTAATTGAATTGTGTTTCATTTTTATGGTGTACTACTCTATCTGGTCAAATGATTTTCTCTGATTGCTCCTTCGTCACTAGAGCATTACTGGGAAGTGGGAATTCATTAGACAGGTTTGGATTGGTTTTTAATACTTCTCTAGAGCCACCCTTTATTCATCCAGTTTCAATGCGCTCTAGTGATCACTTGTACACATGTTGGCCAAGTGTCTCCAAAGAACTTAGCACTATTTCATATGTGATGACAACTTGGGCAAGTTAGGAATGTAGAAATATATTCAGCAACAATCATATTTTCAAATACCCTCATCCCAATTTGTACTCATGATGGTTCATTAGATCTTAACTCATTTCACTCTTCACCTATTTGTGGCCCATGTTCTTCTCTCCTTGTTTCTTGTCTCTTTCTCTACACACAATGGGATAAACTTTTTATCTCATTCTTTTCATGTTATAGTGAAAAGATAGCAAGTGAAGGTAGTGGCACTGATGAAAAGTGAAAGCGTGTCATCTGTATGAATAGGAGCATATGGTGGCTTTCAAATATTATGATATGACAAGTTTGCTACACCTCAGGAAAGGAGTAGAGATAAATACATGGGATCTTGCGATGCATAAGAAAATATGCACAACAAAATCAATAAGTTCATTTGTTTTCCATGCACATTTTTACGTTGTGAAGGCAAATGCTTCATCAATTTGTTTACCATGTGATTTTTTCCTTTATCTATCTTGCAACCTCCTAAAACAGCCTTGCTATATTTACACCTACTTGGTTTACTTCAGCCACATTTTTAAGCAAAGATAATCACCGCAAGTTTGTGGCAGGCACCAACAGCCATCAGGCCATTTACCAAAACCGTATGACCTTCAGCTATTCTGGCAATGGAAGGTTGTCAAGGATTGGGGATTGTATCTCGATCCTCTCATGAACTATCACCATTTGTGCCTTGGTTTTTGTTGGTTTGGTTGTACTTTATGGGAGGAAAAAGGCATAAGCTTGGCAACTTTGTGTGATGGATCCAAAAATGTGGATGTAATCATCTTTATTGGTGGATGGAATCAATTTCTTGGGCTTATTTTAATGAAAAATGAAGAATGGTGGAATGGAGATAGGAGATTCTGGATGGTTAAAGTTTTTGATAGAATTATAGGGGATTCTGGATGGTTAAAGTTTTTGTTTTGCTGTATCCATACAACAATGAAGTTGTTTTCTTTCTGATGATGATGTTTTGATATTTAAATTCCATTTGTTAATATATACAATTCTTAACAGTAGATGTCTTTTTTCCTTTATTTAATTTAAACCGTCAATGGTAAGTTTTTAATCTTTATCTAGGTATAGATGACAGATTGCATCCCGCTACATTGCACGGTGTGTGTATATATATATATATATATATATATATATATATCAACGTTCTTAATTTCTTATGGTGTATTCTTTTTATGGGTTGTCGTCTTGATTGATCATTAAACATGGGATCAACAAGTACTAAGGTTTCTTTCATCATTTGACTGATTCAGATTTAGACTTCAGATGTAAAAACAAACAGTCTGACTGATTCAGATTTCAGAATTATGACGTAAAAACAAACAATCTGACTGATTCAGATTTCAGACTTCAGCACCGCCTCTTAAAATTCAGAAGTGAATTCAGACTTCAGATTTCAGCACCTCTTAAAAAACAAACGCCACCTTAATAAAATTTGAGATTGATACTCTGATTTTATGTTTGCTTTGAAGAAGAGTTTGAATTTTAAATCCGAAGAGTTCAATCTTAATAGATAGCTTAAGAACATCTCTTACAATTTCTTTAAATAGAGAAAATGAGAATTTTGTTATCTGTTTTGCTGTAACCAATTCTCTATATTGTTCTACAAAATAGAGAATACTAAAAAAAGATTCAAAGGTAGATAATTTTCTAAAAGTTGGTGTTTAAAGATATATATATATATATATATTTTAACCACAAGGGTGGTGCCTGATTGGTTTGAGTTTGGCTTCAAAGGTCAAAAGTACCTGGAGATCTCAAGTTTAAATCCAATGAAGAATAAAAATCCTCTTGTGGCCACAGAGGTTCAAATGCGGTGACTTCCGGCTATCTGCAAAGCAGGTAGTCGCCCTGGGATTAGTCGGCTCGCATAGCGGGTTGGATATTCAGGTTAATAAAAAAAATTCATTAATGAACAGAATTATTATTAATTATTTTATATAAATTCTTTTATAAATATGTATTAGATGATAAATTTATAGAATATTTAAAAATAAAATGAAACACCTAACAATTTATTTTCACAAACCAAGAACTACGAGATCGCCCATTTCATTTTAGGATGACAAAGGGGTCATACAATTCAAGCCTTTTCTTCTTCGTGATTTTCCTCGAGTTTCGGAGAAAGTTGAAATCCATAAAATTTTCTAAGAACATCTCCAATAGATTTTCTGAAATGGAGATTTGGAGATTTTTGTTCCAACATATTCCTCAAAATCTTCTCCAAAATATACAAAGCACGTGAGAGAGAATGAAATTCTTCAAATTTGGAGATTTCTTCAAAAATGATTATTTATGAGAGATAAATGATTTTTCATTCATTCTGCCAATGCAATTGCTTGATACGAGTTATATTGAATATTTTAATAATATAATTAATTGTGTAATCTCTAAGAGCATCTCCAATGGTAAAACTGAAGACTTGATGAAAATGTTAAGCATTGGAGAAATAAACTGAAGAATGGTTTGAAATCTAAAAGCTTGAGAGATGTCAAATATTTAAAAATTTATATAGGTGCATTAACAATGAATTAAAAATACAAAAAAGACTTGATCATTGCAGTAAGTATTTAACATATTGGTTTTTGTTTAGTGGAAATCTGATGTGTGGAATAGATGAAGTTTTTAAATTTGACCATTGCGGATGCTCTAAAACAGCGAATTCAAATCCGCTATAGATCAAGTCTTTAAATTTGATTAACCTAGATATTCAACCCGCTATACATACGAGCCGACTAATCTCAGGGGCCAGGACGACCACCTGTTTTGCGGATAGCCCGGAGTCACCGCATTTGAACCTTCATGGTCATAAAATGATTTTTATTCCTCCTTGTATTTGAACGTGAGACTTTCTGGCACTTTTGATCTTTATAGCCCAATAAGCAACCAATCAAACTCATCTTTGTGGTTTATTTATTTTTTATTTTCAAAATATTATTATTTTCTATTTTCAAAAAAAAAAAAGGAAAAAATTATATATATTTTTTCTATTTTCAAAAAAGAAATGGAAAAGATGTATTTCTTCTTATAGGAAGATATGTTTTCCAGTATAAAAATAAATGCTAATTATTTTGTATTTTAGGTTATTCAAAATATAAAAATGTAAATTTAGATTTACCTTTGCAAAATCACAGGCATATTCCGTCCCCTGTATCTATCCCCAAATCGGTTTCATCACATAGGAGAGACGACGGTAAGATGATGGATCCCGGAGCCGGTCCCACCACAACTATTCCCAACACCGAGGGTCTACCGTCAGTCACTCCGCTGCAGGAAACGGAGACACCTGCTGCCGCCGTGCAACGGTGGGCTTTTCTGGTGTCACAACGCTACCAACATTTTCTCGACAAGTCAACGCCGTTCTTGCTCTACCGGTGGATCATTTTCTGTGCCATCGCGATCATCTACGCTATTCGTGTGTTCTTCGTGCAAGGGTTTTATGTGGTCTCGTACGCTCTCGGGATATACATCCTTAATCTCCTCATAGGGTTTCTGTCTCCTCAGGTTGATCCGGAATTCCAAGACCTTTCCGATGGCCCCACCCTTCCTTCTCGGAGCTCCGATGAGTTCCGCCCTTTTGTTCGTCGTCTTCCCGAGTTTAAGTTTTGGTAATTACAATTTCTTTAAGTTTTGGTAATCTTTTTATTATCTAACATTTGATTTCATTTGCATTATTAACTAAGTGACGTACTGATTTAGTTATATTAGATTTAGGTTTTGGGTAGAGTAGGATCAAGCTATGAATTTAGGGATCAAATAGTTTACAAACACTCGAAAATTGACGGTAATAAGAACTTGTTTAAGACAGTCTGTTTGTACCATAACTAGGGTTAGAAACGAGGATGTTTTTGCTGCAATTGTCGATGATAATTTTTGAAAGCCACCAGTTAAATTTTCTGCTGATGCTGATTTTAGTGATGTTAATTACTTGATAAAATTTCTGATGAGCTAGGGTTTTGAGCAATCCATATCAAGCAATTTGGTAAGTTAATATTGAAGTTCCCCATTTTGCAACAATTTGTGCAATAGACCAACTATTATTGTCATTCAAGTCTCATTTATAGACCAACAACATGAATGTCTCCTTAAAAAACTATAACACGGTTATCAAACATTCAAGTCTCATTTGTATACCTGAACAAGGGAGTCACTATATCCAAAGCTAGCAAAGGGGTTATCCGGATATTAGTTGACCCCATATGGATTCCCAGAAGATCTGTATGCTTATTTGTATAACTTTTTAATCCCTGGAGGGATTACCAGGATATTTAGCTTTCTATTTAATGGAGAATTCAGCATTTGAAAGGAATATTATGAATTATCCATTTGATTAACTTGGTGGCTCGTGAATATTTTGTAGCGATCCAGTGAACTCTATAAATTACAGTGCAATAAAATGAAGTGTTTGAATGGGGACATCTTTTTTGTTTTAAACCTTGAGAAAGGGCATGATTGTAGAAACGGGTCTTTGAACAAATATGTTGCTATCGCTGTGTGAAATAGTTGATGGTTTAGTTTCCGTATGTGATCCAGAAAGAAAAGGAGTTGAAGTTATAACAATGACTTGGTGAAATCACATTGCTTACGAAATTTTGTTCAAGTTATAACAATCATAGTGCAAGTACAAAAGTACTAGGTTAACAATTGCAAATTTACTGTTGTTTTAAGTTTCTGTTCTTGTTATTCTTGCATTCCAGCGTAGCCTATTTCTAAATCAAATTCCATAATTGAAATACATACAATGTTGTTTAAGAGATTTACTCAATGGTCGGTGGTACTTCGTGGTTCCAATTCGAACTTAATCCTGACTTGATTGGATTTGGTAGAATTAGGAGAATGGCAAAATAAAATGAAGATTGAGGGGTGAAACTCGTTATCTCTGCTTAACATCAATCCAAGTAATGAGTTTCACCCTCAATGTTCATTTTTATTTTTCCATTCGCTTATTTCTACCGGCTCCAATCAAGTCTGGGTAATGGTCGAATTTGAGCCATGAGGTTACCACTGATCATTGTGTAATGTAGAACGCATATTGAATTTCTTAACCAATGTTGTATCCATCTTAGTTATGGAATTTGTTTTGGAAAAGGTTGTGCTGGAAATAGTGCAATAACAAGAACACAAACTTAAAGTGGTAGCATATATGCGTCGGTTAACGGGGTATTTGTACTGTGATGTTATAACTTCAGCAGCATTTCATAAAACAATGTGATTTCACCATGTCATTTTTTGACACAATTATACGGCTGACTATTAATTTTGTCGTGGACAATCATGTGATGTGCTAGCTCTTTTGGTACTAATATTGGATATTTATGGCTATGAAAAGCAGAGGAGCTGTTCTGCGACATGTAGGAGAGTTTTAAGTCAAGCTTCTAATGTTGGGTTGAACTTGATGAGAGAAGACAACCTTTTTTTTATGTGGCAATATTGTGTTGATAAATAACACTTTTGATATTTCAACGAAATGGTTTGCCGATTGAATGAAGACTAGGATTCTCATACCTTTGATCTATGAAATTTCTTGAGGAGGGTTCTTTTGCCTGTTCAGATTTTGGGGCTCTTCTGAAGATGGAGTCTGGATACCCCTTTAGGAGATATTTGTGCATTGAAGGACTTATACAGAATTTGCTTTTCATGAGTTGCAAGTTTCACTAGAGCTGTGTTTGTGCGTCCCAATGATTTCTTGATTTCAGACAGCTTGGTTTGACTTGATGCATGCCATAAATAGCAGTTTTACACCACCCTGTCCCTGAAAATGAGTGGTTAGAGGCATTTATTGTAGGTCTAGAACCATAAGAAAAGGGGTGAAAGTGTATTGGATAGGAATAAATGAATAAACATATCAAGAGCAACTGTGTTGGTTGTTAGTCTTGTTTGGGTCTATCAACTAAATGTTACCGGGAGACTTTGGTCATCGATGGGTTTGACAAAAATATTGTTGATAGATTAGCATGAAGAATTTAAGATTATTTTCAATCGCTTGATACCAGATTTACGGTTAGCTGCTCTAGTACTCTAGTATACTAGAGTTGCTCTTAAGGCACTGATAATTGATTATGCATATTCGCCCGGGGTCTTTTTCATAAAGAATCTCTGTCTCTTTGGGACAAAGGTAAGGTCGTACGTCTTACCCCCCCCCCCAATACCCTACCTTCGGATGGGATATACCGGTTATGCTTGGTTTGGTTTGCCCATGAAAAGTTGTTGGGTATGATGTTGCACTGTTATATCTTTTTTGGAAGTAAATAGTAATTATATGAAGCAAATACTCACACACACTCCTCACCTTTGGTGAGGTTTGAACCCTTGACCTTCTAGGAGTCTGGTTTCTACCTGTAACTCGGGTACCCCTGAGCCAATACCCTTTGGTTGCACAGTTATACTTTATCAGCTGTATTCTAACAAATATGATTTACAATAACCAATCTTGCAAATAATATTGGTTAATCTAATATGTATAGAAGCAATCTTGCCTTGTCTCTATTGTAAGTTGGGGTTTCCAGTCTCGGGCCTTTTGCCTTGTCTCTGTTGTAAGTTGGCTTAATCTAATATGTAGAAGCTATCTTGCAAGTCAAAAAATGTATTTGAAGTCACATAAGTTTCTCTTCGACATTCTAAGAATCATAAAAAGTGCCTCCTACTTACTGCATTTTTCTTCTTAGGTTTTCTATATGAGCAATATATAATATTATCTGATCTCAACTATAATAACATGAATGATCTCGGCATGGATGTTGGTTTCGGAAAAGTTTGCAAATTTGAACGGGTTGGTAAGACATCATTGGTGGCCTATGGAGTATGAGTTAAGCTCAACTTGTGTCTTGTTGCCGCTAAAGGCTGTGAATGGTTCATGCAATTTGATGATGTAACCAATTCTGTATCCTTGATGATAGGTACTCGATAACAAAAGCCTTCTGCATCGCTTTTGTCTTGACATTTTTCACCATATTCGACGTGCCTGTTTTTTGGCCTATACTCCTTTTTTACTGGGTCATCTTATTTGCTCTCACCATGAAGAAGCAGATACTGCATATGGTCAAATACAAATACGTCCCATTTTCCTTCGGAAAACAGGTACTCTTTAACCTCAAATTTACTCGAACATTTACAACTTTTTCCGTTATACCCTTATTTAATAAGTAGTTTCTTTTACAGAGGTACAACGGAAAAAGGGCATCATCAACCGAGAGTGCAAGTCTTCTTCCCAGAGACTAAAAGATTGAACTATTTCATACTTTCATTTCCTGTACTATCCCTTGACACACATCTTAGTAGGGAAAGAAGTTAGCCGTAACTTTAATGTTTTGTTCGATCATCTTCATTTCGTACAGGTTTTTCGTTAGCCGTAACATCATAGACGAATGAAGCTTTAGGTTTTTTTAAAGAGCTTTCGATTTAGTTTCATCAAATATTATCTTATTGTGGTCCCTTTTGGCAAATCCAATGGAGTTAAATACCCCAATTATGTCACACAACACAATACCATCAAACCATAGGTCACCAGTTCGAGTCTCCTCAGGGCCGCTGGGGATTTTGCTGGCTGTTATTTTCAGGGCTCCATGGGATTGATCCAGATGCACATAAGTTGGCCCAGACTCCCATGGTTACCAAATAAAAGTTAAAAAGAATGTTACAAATAGAAAGGACAAAGGTACTTTGTATACTCAAGGTGGCCTGTAATACCCATAAACACCATAAAAAGTCTGTGCAGAAGTGAGGATTAGCAGAATCACAGCTGCTATAAAGGAGATAATAGCCCAAGGATTGCTGAAATAGTTATGCATTAAGCTCGCTCGCCATGAGTTCCACCTATGATTATAGAACCGATTAACCTTTTCTGACAACTCCGAAAGATAGCTGTTGTTGATGTCGAAAACGACCTCTTGACATAGACGGTTGAAGAGATCGGCAACATCGGAATCGCTTCCTAACCAGTGCTCGATAATCCCACAGTAATGGAGGTAACCTACGTCTTTCTCGGAGTTTATCAAATTGTCCATGAAGATAACATATGACGTGATCTCATTCCCGCAGTCTAAATGTGACTGCTCGAATGCTATGAGGTTAAGGAAAAGTGATTTGGTTCCATCGTGGATCAAGAGCCGGGGTATCTTTAGAATCCCGTTCTTGAACTTGATGTCCCAAAATCGATCAGTTTTCCTTTTCTTGAACTTGATTCCGGCTTCTTTAAGCTCGGTTACACAGTGTATAAGCTGTGTCCGGCGCTTGTCGGCAACCCGACTATTATGTGACCATCGCTTGATCCATCTTCTCGGTTCGAGCTGTGGTCCTCTCCGCAATAGACTCTGTCTGAACACATGAAGACAGTGAAGGTATGATTGGTCCGATAATGGGTCAAACGGGCTAGTGAACCCGAGGGATGATTCCATTTTGTTCCGGTCGCTTTTTGTCAGCGGTTCGTCGGTGGGCATTAACGGATCAAAGAAATGTAGAGCCAGCTTTGCAACCAATCCTTTCTGGTCAGCCTTCCCGAACTGCAGGCCTAATAATCGGTCAAGTATGAACAACGGAATCTGATTCTCGAGCATTACCATATCTCGCTGAATTGAGTGCATGGATCCCCGCATCGCAAACACGGGATCGCATCGAGAATAACCAAGCTTTATGAACCCCTCTGCCGCCCCACGGAAAAGCTCAAGAGCAAAACAACCATCAAGAACCATCATTTCCACAAACTCGTTACTGCCAATCATAATCTGCCCTTCGTAGCAATCTCGTGCCCGTTCTTCCAGTTCTTTGATCGAATCAACATACATCTTAGCATCTTGATCACAACGTTTGAGAATCTGGTAAAATGCGCGCCACTTATGGCGCTCCATGTTTCTGAGGCGGCGTTTTCCATGATGGTAAGGCCCCATAGAGACGATATTCGGGATATAAGCTTTATCCTCGCCATCTCGTAAGTACTGAGGAACTCTATAGATGCAGAGTTTTCCCCAGGTACCTGCCACGTCATCTTTCTGGGCAAGATCGAGCTTTTCTCTGACTGTGATCATCCATTCAGATTCCGGTGATCTTGGTCCTTTTGGGTCCTCGGTATCACCATTGATCTGGATCTGCACTGCATCAGATGGCTTCGGAAGTTCGATTGAACGGCTAGTACTTGGGATTCCGGCATCTACGGTTTCTTTGAGTTTAAGAGTAATGAGGTACCAGCTCAATAGCTCCTTGTTGAACACAGCAACCATTATTTGTGTTGAAGAAATGAAGCTTGAATCAGATTCTTATTGTTATTAATACTTGCAAGAACAGAATGCTGGGAAGAAAGTGACATTCCACCTGCACAGCCACAAATAATGAATATCAGACTATCTACAATCCAATTAAATCCATAGAAGCAACTTAATTGACTTTTAGCATTTAAAAAGGATAAGCCAGTTTCTGGTTTTTTTTATTAAGACTCTTAAAAGCCTGCAACAAAATGCTTTTTTAAGATTTAAAATAACAATTTTTTGGGAATCGATCATATACGCACATCTATTTATATTAAAATTAGGTTAAATTATATATACTGAAAATGTAAAAAGTAAGTCTTGATATTGATATATGTAAAAGGAAATCAATAGATAGATAGGTGTGTATTTATAAACAATTAGGCCATAACCATTGTAATAGGGTGGTCAATGTAACAGCTGTACAAGGCAGCCTCATGACCCTACAACAACCAAACATTCATCTCCTCCACTAAAACCCCATTCCCACCAATGAAAATGATATGATTTCAATCTTCACATCATCAACCCATGTGAATCAAGGGTCACTTTAAATCCCTTAAATCAAGTATTCATTTTGTTTGTGGATTCTATTTATTCATGTGTTAATAAAGTTATCTATCTGGATTAACTTGTCTAAATAAATTGAGAGGGTTTTTTTATTTATGGAAAGAGCATGTTTTTTAATTAGGAGGGACATATATAAAAAAACTTGACTTTTTGTATAAAGCTCCCTCTAGATATTTATTAAACCACTAAAAACTGTTATGTATAACCGATTGAATAACATATGAAACGCATTAAGCTTCAAACAATATTCCATGCAAGTATAGGTGTACATTTTAGGCAATAACTACTCAACTGAACTGGTGGGATCTATGAACACAAAATCTTTTTAGTTCCTGAAAATAAACAAAGACTATATAATAACAAGCTGCTTCTTTCCCTTTCACAAACACCAATAACAACGAATTTAATTGAATCAAATCAAATCAAAATCAAAACTTTAGAAAAACAACTACCATCCATCCACTGGGGAATTTGGATCTTGAATATAATAATTCTGTATCAAATCAACACCAAAAGTCTACTTCTCGGTTCTTTCTCTGGAAATTCTGGCTGAGAGACGTTCGTGTTTTCTCTTGCCTCGTGAACTGCGTCTTGATCTTTGTGTCTGAGTTTTTGTTGCGTTCTTCTGCCCGTTTTCTAGGATGACTTTAGATGGGAGCTCAGGGGGTGCATCAGGCCATGGCGTTCTCTTAGCCGCCACTGTCACCTCTAACTGAGGCTCAATTCTCCATCTGCCTCAAAATAATAACAGATGTTCACTTTCTTGCTAAATATATGCATCTAACACTGCCAAACAATAACATCTATAAATACCCCATCATTGTTTCTTCATTTAATGAACACTCATTTGCCACTATCCCAGGTAAAATGTATGTGATTGTTCATCTATGCATGCATATATACATCTGTCTATGTTTTGCTAAACCAATCTGATCCATTAATGGTTACTAGTGAATGCTTACTAGTGAGCTAAATCCTAAATTTCCCTATTAGTTTAGTAGCGTAAATCCATCACAGAACTAGTGCTTTTCTAGCAAATAGATATTATGGATTTTCCTTTTGCATCTACAACCAGGATTTATCTGTTCGAGTCCGAGTACTAGTAGGACTAAAGCTCTATTGGAGTCTACAAAGGTCACGATCTTAATGGTTAGGACAATCAGTTTGTTCTTTATCGTTTTCTCCGTATAGCGAATACATATTTGTCATTGCCAATTGATGTAGTCATATTTGGCAAACCACATAAATTTTGTTGTAGCTTGCTCCCTTGTTTCGTATAGTTTGTTTTGCAAGTTGGGGATTTTCACTGAAACGGTCTCTCTATCCCTCGAGTAGTAGCAATGTCTGCATCCTACCCTCAGCTCTACCTCTACATGAGAATTTCTAGGTTAGTTGTCTTTATATGTTTGGCAAGTTAGCTAATAAACCAGTCACGTTTGATAAAAACTAGCTTATGAGTTAGATGACAATGTAAAATGACCTAAAAAGAAAATGTAAAGGGCATAATTAGCAAAAAGTGAAAAAAAAGCCCAATTAGCAACAACTTTTCAAAAAGTTTATGGCTTACCAAACGAGATTTTTCTCAATAAACTCAAACAATAACCTAGTTTTATGGTTGCCAAACATGACTTTGATATAAATCTCTTATGTACTTTCTGCTTATGCACTTGATGATCCACAATAGATGTTACTTAAGAGCCTCTAAAGATGTCACTACTCTAAAACAGTGTTAAGAATTTTTTTTATCTCGGAACTCCTTAAACAGTGTATATAAGCAAAACAATGGATACTTGCCAACAATGCAGCTAATATGGGTAAAAATGGTATATTTAACACAAATGTAATCAAGTAATGTATATGCAAACTCTAAAGAATTAGGAATATTGAATTGTAACTCGAATAAGAAGACCAACCCGGCAGGAAATTTGCTATCTGCACGAGCCTCAGCACGGAGCCACCATAGCATCACTTTCTTTCCGCAACTGCCTAATGGCTCCACCATAGAAGAGTCTTTAAGGAAAGAAAGAGGGTTCTCAATTTCTCCATTGCCGGTCGCCACCATGTCCAAATCCTTGATCCACTCCGGTCTGAACTCAGATTCTTCCCACACCAACCTCGAGTTCATCACAAACCCACACCACTCCAGCTTCCGGGGCAACACAATTGCCATATCACCAATGTAATTCGCACTCTTTTGTCGGTATGCAATAGAGTTAAAAGTGTGCCACCCAATTAACTGATCAGATGAGTTACAAGCCGGACCTTGGATCGGCAAGGGTGATTTCTTCTCATCTAATTCATTCAGATTCTTTGGAGCCTCAAAAGGGTCTTCATCAGAATGACTGGAATAAGCAAGAATCCCAACAGAAAGAGCACCAATCCATTGGACTTTTTGAATCTCATCAAAAAGTTCCAAACTATGCATATTACTATCATCAGCAAACATAACAATCCCATCTAGCTTCTCTTCTCTCACAACTCTGAATCAACAAGAATAACATCTACTATAATCAAATCATGATAACAATTTGAATTCATCTTGATCTTAAAATTCAAACACGAATTAGTTAAGTTTACCTCAAAGCCTGCAATCGCATCTGGGATTCCAGTTTGTGACGAGCATCCCAGAAAATGGGCATCTTCTTCCCGTACCCAATATGCTTAATTTGAAGTTTGGAATTTGCCAGCAACGCCGCCGTTTCATTGGTGGCGCCACCAGCTTCCACCACGATCCATACGACTTCGTAGGGCAAATTCGTCAACGTGTGCATCAATCCAGTTAAATGTAAAGCTTGAAAGGTTCGCACATAAGTTGGAGTGACAACAATCAGAGTTCTAGGGTTTTTGATCCCATACTGAACCCTCTGTTCCCTCTGAACAGTTTGCATAATTCTATGAGCTTTCATTACCTCCTCCGGATTCGGGTGGGGCCATGACCGGATCCGGATCCCGTGCCGGCCAACCACCACTCTACTATTACTACTACTCGTTACAGCATCCGTTTTAAGCGGCGGTGAGAAATTCCTAAGAGAAGTGGTGAAAGACAGGGTTTCGGCGATATCGGCGGCAAACGGAGCCGTCAATGTCGAGGTATAGAGATTGTTAGTGGAAGAACTTGAGAAAAGGAGGAAGAAAACAAGACGAGAGAATCTGAATCCAAGGACAAGAGAAATAAGGCAACATAAACAGTGAAGCATTATCCAGAATATCGCCGCTGCAGATTTCGTAGTGCCGCCACTGCCGTCGGCGGATGAATCTAACGGCGATGCGCCTCTGCAGCTGTTGCTCCGGCCACGATTGGCGTGGCTCTGCTGCAACACCTGAAATTTCATCTTACTCCAATCAATCCCCCTCCTCTGCTCCTCCACAGCTCCGGTACTCCGGTGGTATGAGCGCACAGGGAGAGAGAGAGAGAGATGTAAATGACTTCCGATCTTTCAAGTATGAAGAGCTGATTCTGATGGTTGTTGATGAAGATGGTGATAGGTTGAGGGAATGATGGAGGTGGTTTCAGCTAACTTGATATAGGGTTGTTGAACTGTAGAAATCAAGCAAGAATGCTTTGAATCTAAGGATCAATCGGATAGGTGTAATTGAATAGTAAACTGATATATGGATTTCAACGGCAGGTAGAGGGTGGGAGGAAGGATTGTCGGCCAACGATCTCCGGTCGTTTTCGTTCCAGATGAGTAGGGGATTCCGATGTACCTTATATATATCGCCGCTTCATATTCCGACATGGTGTTGTGGTGGACTAAATCCAGCTGTTTGCGGCTTTTAATTTACAATATTTCTTTTTGGTAAATTACATTGATTTAATTTAATTCTTATTTTAGGTAACGTAATTTTTAAAACTTGCATTTTAGTACTTAAGATGTAACGTTTTAAATATTTAGGTATCCGAGTAATTGGTTAAAGCGTTAATCGGCTATCATGCTGATGTAACGAGTTATAGAATAAAATTGGGTTGAATAGCAAATAATACTGAGATGGATAGCACATCATTTGCCACATGAGCATGGTAACCGATTAATGTTTCAACTGGTTACTCGAGATACTTAAATGTTTAAAACTTTACATCTTAGATACCAAATTGAAAGTTTTGAAAAATATATTACCCAAAATAAAAATTAAGTTAAATTATGTTACTTTTTCACGCAATTTATCCTATTTTTTCCACCAAAAGCTCCCCTACTCTTTTTTATTGTAGGAAAATTTAATATGATTTCTAAAAGCATTTTCAATTTTCAATTGTTATACTATAATTTTTTTTAAATAAAGTATTAAAAATCAAATTTTAGAAAAATTTATATTCAATTTCAACAATTATTCTATTTTAAAAATTCTAACAGTAAGGGGCTGTTTGGCAGTTGCTGAATGATTTAGTGCAGAATAGTTAAGAGGTCAGAATGACTAAGAGTAGGGGTGAGCAGCGGAACCGGGTACCCGGCTATAGAACCGGAACCGCCTTGTAACCGCCGGTTCCAGAACCGGAACCGATATGAGTGGTTCCGGTTCCGGTTCCTAAAATACGGAACCGATTGAGAATGGTTCCGGTTCCGGTTCTCAATTTTTCGGAACCGTTACCCGCCGGGTACCCGGTATTTTTCAATAAAAAAATAATTATTATTTTTTAATACCAAATTTATATTATGTTTACATTTTAAAAGCACGTCGTCATCTTCAATCTTCATCTAAATTCTTCATATAAAATGATTCGTATTTTTTCAAATTGTGTGTTCACTTGGATTCATAGTATGTAATCGTTAAACTTTGAACAATTACCATTATAGTATGTAATCGTTAAACTTTGAACATTTTTTATTAGTCTATTATGGTTTGTAATCATTAATCAATATTTGTAACCATTATTCTGTATAATTTGTATTCTTGCTTATTTATTTAGTGTTTTGGCAATGTTTTATTTTTATTTCTAAATAATAAATTTTTAATATTTTAGGAAGCGGGTACCCGGAACCGGAACCGGAACCGGTTCCCGGCGGTTCCGGTTCCGGTTCCAAAAATTTAAGAACCGCTCTAACCGGTTCCGGTTCCGGTTCCAATATCTCAAGAACCGCCGGTTCCGGTTCCGGTTCCGGTTCCTGTCAAAAAGGGCGGGTACCCGCCTATGCTCACCCCTAACTAAGAGGGTCAGAATGGTTAAGTGCTGAATGAAATATGGTTGTTTGGTAAATGTTTTCTGAATGATAACAAATTAAGAGCCAAACAAACAGCCCCTAATTGTATTATTAAAAAATTTAATATATTTAATACAATGTTATTTATGTTTCCTAAATACCTTTTATTAGTGGAAAAATATAAAATAATAATTTTTCTTGTTTAGAGGGATTTCTTTAAATTTAAAAATTTTACAATATCTCTTTTTTCTTTCTCTATTATAGCATACAAGATAACATAGCTATTGAGCAAAAGAAATCGTTAAAATCCTTTTTATCTCTATTTTACCGTAGTTGTTGGAGATGCTCCTAGCATCTCAAACAGATCTTTTTAACCAAATAAAATGAAGATTTTGGTCATTTTTTGTTTTAATAGATTCTCCAAAATTTTCTCTAAGATGAAGTAAAGAGTGTGAAATTCTCTAAATATGGAGAAGTCTTTAAATATTTTTATTATATTCTCACCAATGAAAAACATTGACATTAGATGTTTATGAGAAGAAAATAATATTCTATTATATATATATATATATATAATATTTTAATAATATAAATCAATGTTGTAATTTTTAAAATGAAGAATCTATTGAAATTTAATGTGATCTTCAATTAAGATTTTCATTTTTTATTTATTTATTTTTAAGAACGTGTTGAAAATACTCTGATCAAATAAAGTAAGAACGTGTTTTGCTAATTCTAAAACTCTGGAAAAAAAAACCTAAAAAATATATTGAAGTTGATATTAAATTAAGGATTAAAAAGTAAATTAATTGAAGATCTTATAGATTTAATAATATGTGATTTATTTTACTTTTTGAATTTTTATGATGAGTTTTTTTTTTTTTTTTGGGATATAAAGTTATGATAAAATATTATATTATGGTTTTGAGTTGGCTATTAATTAATTTTGTAAAATTTAAAAAGGTTTAAGAAATTATAAATACGTTATAATTGTTTGCATTATTTCTATGCTATATTTGTTTTAGACTTTTAGTGTTAAAATTAATTTTAAAACGAGATCTTGATAACCTTTTCCCCCATAATTTATTAAGATATAATTCGTTTAATATTAAATTGTATAAGAATTTCAAAGCATTGTACTTAATTAATAAAACCCTTTAAATCATATATCATAAAATATGACAAAAGGTTGAAACATGAAATGGTTATCAATCGAATAAAACTTAGTGATCATATGATAATCCATGTGTAAGTAACGATGTCCAAGCGCTATCCATTCAAACGAAGGAGTGGCTTAATTCGACTTTGAATTTAAATGTGTTATTTAGAAATAAAATTAAGAATGGTGACGTCTTTCCACAAACACCGAGTGTTATGACTAACAAACAGCTATACGTGAAATGGGGTTGATTATATTGAGAATGAAAGTTATGTTGAGAGGGGTGAGAAGGGATCTCTATTATTTGATCAATCCCAAATGAAGATCAAGGGTACTGAAATGCACCAGATCAATTCTTATGAGAAACACAATTCATGCGTGGGATGAGATTAAAAGTGATCAAGAGTTCATGTCTCTTTTTATGTTTCTCATCTTAACTCTCATTCTCATGTTACACACTTTTATTTATACTGTCATATCTACCTTAATTAATGCACATGTATGTAAGAATTGCCACATGGTTAAGTAAACGATATAATAATTAAGACACTTCTAAAATTATGTAACATTTCAATTGTAGGTTGACACTTGTTTTGAAATAAAGAGAGCAATATTTAGTAAAGTTGAAAACTCAAGGTTCATATTAATTGGTACCACTTTAACACAAGATTGCATGCACTGAGCAACCGAGTGAATTTTGATGCACTCGTCGTTATGAAAGTTCATTGTGGATCCCAATCAAGGGAAAACCTAGTCTTAACAAAATATTATACAAGACGTCATGCTTAAACAAGCATGAACTAAACTGCATTATAGTTACGAAGAACTTGCTATATCGACATTTATTATCTGAATTAACTAATGTCTGATTGCTCAACAACTAGGCAAAATGATCTCATATGAAATAAATATAATTTTTTTCGATAATCGTGAGTTTCCAGACCAACTTACGAGCACCAACTAATCTTTCGGACAACCACGAATCTACAGGAGTCATTGTATGTGAACCTTCATGGCCACAAGGGCTTTGGAAGCAGCTGGATTTAAACCCATGGTAGATTGAATCTTCCACTAGGTCTCATGAGGCTTAATCAGTACGACATAACCCCGTTTGTTAATAAATTGTTAATCACTGAACAATCAAGCTAATAATATACTGAATCCTTATGATTGGAACATGGCCAACCTATAGACTATTATATACCAGTGAAGTTGCGTGTTTAAGTAGGAATGTTATAAAATGAAGTTACTGTCATGAGGTGGACACTATAACACGAATTTTTATCCACAATATAAACTACATAATTAACTAGTCTATATCATGCAGCATAAACCAACATGCATATATGAAATCACGTATGTCGTTGAAACCTGTATAAAATGATGCATAACTGAAACATTCAAGTCGTTTATCCTCCCTTTAGAGTCACGAGTGACAGATATTCACATGGATTGCCAAATGACATAAATAAAAATAATTTTTGTAAGCTTGCTACAAAACGAACATTAAACAATTAATTTAGGATTCAAAAGTTATGCTCAAACATTTATAAACTAAATTCGGCGTAAACTCTCAAAAGGCCAGCCTTTTTATCACATATAATCTACTTGACATTCCTTAAATTAATTAACCAAAATTAATCATGGAACTTGATAGAAAGGTCTCAAACCATAGCCGATAATAACATATGGTCAAACCATAAGGGTTGTGGTGTAGCGGTTGAGATCCTGAGGGATGTCGTGAAATATCTAATCTGTCCATGGTTCGATTCCAGACGTACACACAATTGTGACCACTTAGTTTATCATGACTTATTTCTTGCAGTCATGATTTGTTGGGATTAATTCAAACATAATATGAGACACTCTTCAATAAAAAAAAAAACTTGCGCTCAAGCTACAGTGCTAGAGTCTGGACAACCCAAACAGAAGCATCCCTCGACAACCTGTTGACTGCACCTCCACTTGTTGGTGTAGAGTTCTCACTTATTACAATCTTCGGCTACTACTTTGGTAGTGACCACCATCCTCAGTCTCAGTGGAATTTTCTTTGTAATTAAGGGTTTCAATTAACAAAATAATTAAAGAAACATCAAATAACCCCAACCTCACATCAAACATTAAGACCCTTAAAGTACTCATCTATTTAATGGACTTTAGATCATGAGAGAATAAAAATTACGACAGATCAATAAGAACATTTGGATGAGTTACAATTTTGATCTATTTCTAATCAACTATCTTCATCTACTTTTATCTTTAATCTCGATCACTTTCACGAGCTTTTACATATATTTAATCACTTTTACATACAATAATTTGTTAAAGTTTCGATAATAATAATAATAAAAATAATTAAATAGGCAAATAAAGATAATTGAAGGTATATACAACTGTTCTCAATCTCACATATGGGTTATAAGTTACAATGATGTTATAAATTGAAGATTTAAGAAAAGAAGGGTTTAATTACCTGAGATTAAAGCTTTCATTTCAAAAACCGACCCTTAACCAGTCTTAACATAGCCTTGATAGGTCCTTTTGGGTTTTTAAAAGAAAATAACAAATACATATATAAAAGAATGAACTGAACAATTATTTTTTAAAAATACCTCGAATTATCATTTAATTGTAAACTAATTAACCATAAAGATAAACATTAATTAATTTATGGCACTATAAACAAATTAGCTATTTTGACGTTTTTTTAATTCTTGAATATTTTTCGTGTCTTCGGTTTAACTTTTTTAATCATTATCGTCTTGAATATTTTTCATATCTTTTAACTATCTTTAAATGGTCAAATTATATCTATACCCTCAAACTTATCACTTTTTCATACCATTTATAGACATCTATTAAAGTAAAAATAAGCTTAAATGTTTAAAATTTTACATTTTAAATATCAAAATAAAAGTTTTGAAAATAAATTACCTAAAATAGATATCAAGTTAAAGTATATTATTTTTTATGTAATTTGTCTAATTTATAATAAACAAACTCTAAATATCAAAACAAAAAACACATGGAACAAAGATTAAGGGGGTGTTTGGGATTGCTTATTTTAGGTGTTTTTTGACTTATTTCAGTGTGGTACCGGTGATAAGCTAAATGCTAGTGTTTGGATGAAGGAAAATAAAACTGCTTATATCAGTACCAAACCGGTAATAAGCAATTTTTGATAAGTTAATCAATCATGACTTATAAAAAACTGCTTATTACTAGTTTACCATTTTAATCCCATTTTATTGAAGTTTGTTAATTATTAATCTTATTGATATAAATTATTAATCTTATTGATATTATTAATTTTATTGATATAAATTTTTGTCAAATATATTATTATAAATAATGAAAAATAATTTTTATATGTTAAAAAAATAAATAAATTAATAAGCAATTTCAAACACTCCCATAAGTCAATAATATAGAAGACTGTTTTTTTTTTGTCAGTAAAATATATAAGCAAAATTTGTCAAACACTAAAAAATAACTTATCAGCTTATTGTTTTTTGGTACCACTATAAGTTAATTCAAACACTTTTTATAAAACTCCGATTTGATAACACATAAATTAATAAACATTTAAAAAAAACATAAATTATTTTAAATAAGCAATCACAAACACCCCTAAAAATTAAATTAAATATTTAATTTGTGGTTATATAAAAGAGAGTACGAAGCGTCTCCTGCAACGCAAGCCAGCCCTCCGTCTTATTCTCCATAACTGCAGGGGGAGTTGAATCTTCTACGCGATGGCAGGTGGTGTTGCTCTTGGACGTCTTACCGAAGAACGAAAAGCATGGCGAAAGAATCATCCTTATGTCAGTCTCCTTCCGCTCTAGTTTAACCCACTCTACATTAATTTTGCTGAATAACGAGATTACAAGCTTGCTGAATAATGCGACTACAATTTTTGATTGATTAGGGTTTTGTGGCGAAACCGGAATCTCTTCCTGATGGTTCAGTCAATTTGATGGTTTGGCATTGTACTATCCCCGGGAAGGTTGGGGTAAGTTCTCAGATTCTTCTATTTCTTTGGTGTGTGTTTTTAATTTTTCAGTAGGTCGGAAACCTGCAATGGCGCCGCCGTAGCGGTGAATCGCGCTCGCCTTTTCTAGATGATACCCGCAATTTAGCCAAAGGGGGTTTTCTGATTTTAGTGGGGCAGAAAGTGTTGGCCTTTTTAGTGATATTAATTATATAAAAAATCTTATGATCACAAGTGTAAATAATCTAAAAAAAATTATTTTTATATATATTAAAATGTCAGTTAGTATTAGATTTGTAGGCCCAAAATCATATAAAAATAGTAAACAAACATATTTAAGTTGTATGATTATCTATACTATATTATAAAGCAGTTGACAAAAATTCTTAAAAACCATTTTTTATGCGTAAAGTATTGTTTATTAATACATATTACTTAAAACTCAAGATTGCAAGTAGATTGTGCGTAAGTACAACTTATTAAAGCWACATATCTGAATTCATGTAACTAACTGCAGATAAACATAATACATGATAAACATTTCATTTTAAATATAAAAAATCTAAAATATAATTAGGATAATTATTGAATTCTATCATAACGCTTAATTATTATCTTTATAAAATTTATAATATTAAACCAAAAATAAATTATTTTATTATTAAACTTAAATTAAATTATAATAATAAAAATAAATTAAAGAAATTACATGAAAAATGATAACTTTTAAATAATTGATTTGATATTTATATATTTTTTTCAAAATTTTATGATATCTTCAAAAAACACAAAATCGTATTATAAGTTATAACATCGCCACAGACAAATAATTAATAAAATAAAACATTAAAATCGAGATGTGTCTCGCTGCATTGTACGAGTACTCTTCTAGTCTTAATAATATATTCCTAAAAAAATCATTTTTTGTTTAGCTTTTGAAACAATAATAGTTTTATTTCACCGATGAAACAATACATGGGTCTGGTTGATGTGCATCCATTTTGATAAACACATAGGGTTAGGGGCCGTTTACTCGGTAAGTACTTAGCATGTAATTTTCCTCACCGGATGAACATGGCAAGGGCCAAGAATCTTACCCGATAAGAGCGAAGATAAGGATGGAAAGTCTTACATGGTAAGTGAGGGTGACGACTCTTACCCGGGTAAGCACTACCAGGTAAATTGTTGCATATGATACGTTTTGATGTACCATAATCTTACCCAATAAAATAAATTATACCGTTGACTCCTAACTGTAAGCAGGTACCAGGTAAGCAGTTAGGTAAACGGCCCCTTAGTCTGTTTTGAAACACATATAGGACTTGCGCCTAAACATCAAGCATGTGGAGTGCGGACTAGGGAACTACGACGTTATGATAATTGAATTACGAATTAGAGAACTAGGGATTGCAGGTGACAGAATCCGGAGTTGCTAAAAGAATAAAAGCGGCAAACATTATAACCGAGCTAAAAAGTAAAACAGAATCGGACATTAGTTCAACCGTTGCTTGTATTCATTATAAATGCAACTTTTGTCATTGTTTGCGACTAATGTTGTGGCTTTGTGATTATCCTAAAGACTGATTGGGAGGGAGGCCATTACCCGCTTACGGTCAATTTCACGCAAGATTATCCAAGCAAACCACCCGTGTGTAAATTCCCTCCAGGCTTTTTCCATCTCAATGTTTATGCATCTGGAGCTGTTTGTCTCTCCATCCTCAACGAACAAAGTGTAAGGAACTTATTAATTAAGACACAATGTAATTTATATAGGGATGAGTTCAAACGAGAACACCACCATTTTATGAAAACGCGAGAACACCCTTTTATATGATACCAAAATTAGAAAAATGGCCCGCACACCACCAGGTCCCCCCATGTTATCACATGTGATCGTTTGAACCTCCACCTATATATATACATACATATATGTATATGTATGTTGATATTTGGTTGTTTAGTTTCATTAGTAATGTTAATATTTGTAGGGGTGGAGACCGGCAATAACAGTTCGACAACTTCTTGTGGGTATCCAAGATCTGTTGGACACTCCCAATCCTGCATCACCTGCCCAATCTGATTTACATGGTCTCTTTACCAAGGTAATTAGTCATGCTATGCTAATCTTTAATTTGTTATCAGCATGTAATGTCTATGCTTGGCTGTTTTGTTGCACACAGACCATTGCTTGTGCGAAAATGTAGGGAAAAAAGAATGAGCCATTTCTTACCAAAATTGGAAATATGACCTATTATCATTATTTACATTTCCGTAAACCGTCTAATGTAAGCTAATTCTTGTAAGAATATTGGTTGGTTTTCAACGAAACCGTGTATAATGATTCATTGATTCTAAATCTCTGATAATTTTATGTTAATATCGGCTTAACTTGAACTATTTCTTATCAATATATATTGGAACCTCCCTCTGGATTCCACATAGAGTCTGTTTGTTATCAACTTTATGAGCTTAATGGGATTTACAACTTATTTGTTCAGCTATATATGATTTTTTGGTAGTGGCTTAATGATATAAAAAGTGGATTATTCTGTAAGCTTTTGAGGGTAAAGTTCACACAGACATCTTTATTCATACAAGAGCTAATGGAAAACCAACCTAAGAGTACCTTATTCTCACACTTTCATTTATTTAATACATTTTTGGAAGAGAATATGGCACTTTTTTGGGTCTTTTTAATGGTATAGCTGTGTTTGGTGCAGAATTTGGTGGAGTACAAGAAAATGGTCCGGCATCAGGCGAAGCTATATCCGGCTCGTGTCTAGATGTAATCTATGGTAGCTTGCAGGTGCTTGGGTTAAGTTAGTTGCATGTAGTCTATATATATTGTGTTGATAGTTTGGGGGAAAAGAGCACCTAATTGGGAGGGAAAGATGGTTGTTTTGGAGACAACAGAATTAAACCTTTATTTTATCAGACTGTTTATTATTAGCCATTAGGGTGGTTATATGTTAATGGTTCAAATTATATCCAATCCCATTGTCGCAGGGATTTTTATATCTTTACTAAATTACTATATTAAAAAAAAAATGAAGATATTTATGAAATCGGATATTCATTAAAGTAGATGAACGATTGTGATTGGTTTGTATGATTTGTATAAATTAGGAGGGTTTTGGGATTTTATGAATCATAAGGGCATAATTAAATGAGAATCACATAAAAGATTATAGACTCGTGAGAAACAAACTTAAGTTATTTATACTATATTATAAAACATTTGACAAAAACTTTTAAAAACCACTTTTTATGCATAAAATACTGTTTTATTAATGCATGTTACTTAAAACTCAAGATTACAAGTAGATTGTGCGTAATACAACTTATTAAAGTTTCATATCCGAATTCATGTAACTAACTGTAGATAAACATAATTAAATACAGGAAAAACATCTTATCTATACTATATTATAAAGCATTTGACAAAAACTCTTAAAAACCATTTTTTATGCATGAAGTACTGTATATTGATGCATATTACTTAAAATTCAAAATTACAAGTAATTATGCATAAGTACAACTTATTAAATCTCCATGTTTGAATTCGTGTAACTAACTGCGGATAAACATAATCAAATAGAGAATAAACATCTCATTTTAAAATATAAAAAACTAAAATATAATTAGGATAATTATAGAGTTCTAACAAAATAATTAATTATTATATTTATAAGAAAATTATATTATTAAACCAAATATAAATCACTTTGTTATTGAACTTAAATTAAATTATAATAAAAAATATTGAATTAAAAAATAATACAAAATATATGAATCTATACTATATTATAAAGCATTTGACAAAAACTCTTAAAAACCACTTTTTATGCATAAAATATTGTTTATTAATGCATATTACTTAAAACTCAAGATTACAAGTAGATGGTGCATAGGTACAACTTATTAGAACTTCATAACTGAATTCGTGTAACTAACTGCAGATAAATATAATCAAATACAGGATAAACATTTTATTTTGAATATAAAAAATCTAAAATATAATTAGAATAATTATTGAGTTCTAACAGAATACTTAATTATTATTGTTATAAAATTTATATTATCAAACCAAAAATAAATTATTTTATTATTAAACTTAAATTGAACTATAATATTTTTTTAAAAGAAATTACATAAAATATGAGAACTTTTAAATAGTTGATTTGATATTAACATTGATATATATATATATATATGTATATATATATATATATATATTAAATTTTTATGATATCTTCAAATATATATTTTATTCAAAAATAGAATTATTATTGTCTTCTTAAAAACACATAAAATCGTATTATAACATCGATAGAGACAAATAAAAAAATAGAACATTAAAATCGAGATGTGTCTCGCCGCATTGCGCGAGTACTCTTTTAGTCATTCTACATGAGTTTTTCATTTATTAAAAATTATGATTTAAGGTATTGGTTTAAAACTTGTTTTGTTTTACATCAGGAAAAAAAAATACATATAAAAAAAAGTTCATATTGTAAAACAAGTACATATAAAACTAATAAATTATAAAATAAATAATTAAATTAAATAAATTTTTTATTTGATATAATTAGAAAGGCCTAAAAATAGGACAGACCGCTAAAGTAGCTAAATTAGTGATAAATAATGAGAATAGTGATTAACCTAAGTGAAATGAAGTCTCTAATAGCACTTCCGACTTCCGAGACAACGATGGGTTCTCTATCCCTGCGGGGATGGAGTGACAGAAGTTTTGAGATCCCGATCATGAATTATGTGTTTTCTAAATCCTTAAATTTTTTAAAACAAGCAGATATTGAAGATGCTTTAACAGAAATACACGACATGTCTATTTGTTCAATGAAAACATCGCTGAATATGAGGGACTGAAAAAGATATAATTTGAAACCCAAGGGATGAGACTTAAAACTGTTTGAACAAACAAAAGGGACCGATGCTCTTATAAAAGACGGAAAATGCGAAAAAGAAACTAGGGCTCAGAAAAAGGCGTCGTCGACGACATGGCTGCTTACTACCAACCACCACCGGCGGGTCCCCACGCCGCCCAGTATGCTTACTATCAACCACCACCACCGCCACCACCACCAGGAGCAGCGCAACCGCCTCCTATCGCAGTACCTCAATTGCAACACCAGTATCACATTCACCAGCAGCCCCCGTTCGGTTCTTATTCAACCCCATTGCATACGCCTCCTTTTCAAGAAGAGGTTCGAACGCTATTCATCGCCGGACTTCCCGACGACGTCAGTCCTCGCGAAATATACAATCTATTTCGTGAGTTCCCAGGATACCAATCTTCGCACCTCCGTAGCCCTAATGCAACACAAACACAGGTATTGAAGTTTATCCTAACGTTTTCCCTATTTAAGTAATATTCGAAATGTTTGGTTAGAGTGGTTGTTCTGTATCTCGTTCTCTATTCTAGAAATCACATTTGACGGAAAAAAAACTACAGATCGTTCGTCACTGGATCAATTTTGCGTTGCTACTCAGAGAAAATCTATGTATAATAGAAGAGCGAAATGCATAATAAAAAACCGCTTGCTAACTGCAATACGATGCATATAATGTCTCCCTGAGCTGCACTCTGATCTTGGAATTACTTCTTAGTCTTTAGATTGATGTGAATGTTAGTTTTATATTAAAGAAAATTTGGTTGCTTGCTGAACTGGTGGTACCGAGTTAGATTAGTAACAATATCCATATCAGTTGTAGTTTCATCATTAAGATTGATATGGAAAACCAAGTATAACTTTTTCTTGATGAAGGGAGGCCATCATTTTAGAGGGACATTATATGCTTTGTTGTTGAAATCATATTCGGTGAAGACAATGGTTCAGTAGTTAATTAGCTAGAGTTAATAGAGCTAAAGACTGAAATGGGTGGCTGGGAATGTCAGGTGTTTTCTGATGCATTGACTTAGCTAGATTTGGCGGCCTTGTACATTGATCATGCCTTGTCTATAAACTGTGAAGAACTAAAGCTGTTTATCTTCAATGGTTTTTTTTTGCAATGGTTTTATTAGTTTGAAATGAGATAGAGCAATGTTGTGTAATAACCAAATTTATTTGATCTTCGCTCTGCTGGTCACCATGTTCAGGCTCATTTTGCATTTGGACCTATAAAATCGTATTATTATCCCTCCATCTATGTCCTTGATAATAAAATTGATAAAATCATTAAACTACATGACAAACAATGCACAGATAGAAATACATTGATGTTCAAAATGCAAGAGGAACATTAAAATTATATCCACTAGAGTTTGAAATTCAAATATGATGCTAGGGAGTAACTCATAAGCTATTATTGTTAATTTTTCCTTGTGTTTTCGTTTTTCTTTTTGTTAAGTTAAATGCAAGATTCATTTGGAAATGCATCTTTTGCGTATCTTTTGTTATTGATCTTGTTTCTAATTTACTCTTTGGGTGCTAAACAGCCATTTGGGTTTGCTGTCTTTCTGGATCAACAATCGGCGCTTGCAGCATTGCATGCTTTAAATGTAAGAATAATAACATCATGTCCACATCAGATTCATTACATGCTTTAAATGTAAGAATAATAACATCATGTCCACATCAGATTCATTACATGCTTTAAATGTAAGAATAATAACATCATGTCCACATCAGATTCATTAAACAAACACTTACTTTATCCATCCTGGTGTTTGATTAACCGAATAATAATAATATTTTAATGCTATTTTGTTACTTTTTGTGGCTTTTAGTCGGTAATGTTGTGATAAGTTCATGACTACTATTTACTAAAAAGCATTTGATTGCTTTTGACCACTTTTGGCATTGTGCATTATTTAAACACATGAATATAGGGAACTTTTGTTGTGAATATTTGAAAAATAAGTTTGTGAAATTCTGGTTTATTGAAATATATACTTCTAGGGAGCTTGTTTGCGGACAAATTGTCTAGAATTTACTTGCCTCCAGAGGCTCCTAGGGTCTGCTCTTTTTTTTCTTTTCAATAACCAAGTCAAACTTTCTTAAGGGGCATAAAGAACTTGAAAGCAGATGTTTTCCAGGGTTGTAGATAACTGCAAATAATATATAAAGCTCTATCTTAGTATGGTTATTCATTTGCAGGGTATGGTCTTTGACCTTGAGAAGGGTTCAACCTTATACATTGATCTTGCAAAATCAAATTCGAGGTCTAAGCGTTCAAGAACAGGTAAATTAATAGTTATATTATGTTCCCCAATCTACCGTTGTATTTGGTGCACTTTTTGGTCTGTCAGTAGTGAACTTATTTCTGTGTACTTGTTGATGTTAACAACTAGATGATGAAAGACATGGATCCGAGAAGAGGTTAAAAGGACCCACTTCATTTTCGAGGGGATTTCCTGATCCTGGTGAGAGTATATTGTGAATTGCTTCTGAAAATATGAGATAAGGAGACCTATAAGTTCACACACTCCTCACTTCCCATCCTCATCAACGCCCACACACAACACATATCTGTATTCTATGAAACACTCACTGCTTTTTTAGTTAGTCCTGCAGTGTTTTTGCTTATATTTTGCGTGGGATAGTAGCCAACTAGTCAGGGGTGAACACATTATTCTAGATGCTCATATTGCACATCTTTTGCACGCTTGGGCACTAGCAGGTGTTGGCAGCGTTCACATGCATGGAATGAGTAATTCTGCTTACAACATGATTGGTTATCCATCTGCACAAAGGTCATCTGCACTACTTAAGCACGTTTTCATTACTTAGATTGGAAGAGATTGCTTCTATCTGGCTTGCACTCGTTCTTACTTGATTAGTTCAGTGCTGAAAAGTTGAAGGATTGGAAAAAAATTACTCTCTCACATGCCTTATTGGATAATGTCTTCATGCGCTGGGGGTAATACTGAATTGTTTAACACTATTTTTCTTTTTACTGATTCAGTCATGGAAGTTTGGATGGTAGACCTGAGAGTATTGCTGCAAGATCGGTATGCTCCACCTGCCTTCCTCTCTCTCTCTCTCTCTATATCTCTCTCTCGTAATAACCAATTTGTTAAATCATGAAAATTTTCTGTTGATGCTTGCTTCTTGTGCTTCCTTTAACCTGAAAAAAAATTCAAGACAGGTTGAGACATCTAAGGAAGAAGGATATGACTTCTTCATTTTAGATCTTTAAGAGCATGGCTTATGGGAAACTGACTAGATTCTGTTAATGAAGGGTTTGTAGACCTGTGAAAAATGCATTCAGTGACTAAGATAACCCCAAAAAACTCAAGTCTCCTACAAACGTCTATGGTCCTTCATGGAGTATTAACTTTTGTCAAAAAAAAAAAAAGTAAAATTCGTCTGTAGATCCACAGACACATTGGAAATAATTTTTAGAAGAAAGCCACATGCTGATATACCTGCAAAACAAGAAAATGCGCAAGCTCATCCTAGGAGGCCAAGTTTTCACTTTTGAATTCTAGCATTTTTATTTTCCTCAGGTAAAAAGGATAAAGTCCAGATGAAGGCACCCCAGAGAAGAAAAACTCTTTGGTACTTTGTGTCTTTTGGCTTCTTTAGCAAGAAAATAGGCTTCTGGCCTGTCCGAAAAAGGGCAATAGCCATGTTGAAGCCCATCAGAGATAAGGTTTCTTAATGTAACCTCTGACACTCGAAGGAGGAGATGATTTTCTAAAAGCAATTAAGAAGTAATAAAGAGTGACACTCTATAGTTATATAAGAAACCCTTTTACTGAGCAATTTAATTTTTCTTATGATTGCTAGAGCTTATTCTTGGTTATAGTGTCTGCACCTTAGAAGTCGGAAGAAAGCAAGAATCATGCTGTCACTGGAGTCCTTAAACGTCCTCACTACTATTCATATAGCAACCTGTTGGTATATGAGTGTGTAGATTCCTTCTATCATAAGACTAAGATTTCCTTTGTCCAGCAGATTATAATAGCAACAGATATATTAAAGATATTAAGCACTTGAGGATTGATAAGATTAGAGATACCTAGGTGGTAAACTTTTTCGAAATAATATATAGGTTTAAAAGCCTCTAATTTTAATGGGAGCATCTTCAAAGATAAATTTATACATATGTACTTCTTTGATGAGAACTAATAGGAGGGCTGGTAGTGCAGGTTGCTCCATGATCCTGTGCCAAAAACTAATTGGAGGAAAGATCAGTGAGGTGCCCTAAATATAGCCATTACTTGCTAATTTTACGACAAATTGTTTGGGATTGTTGGGGATAACAATAAAGGACCTTCTAACTATTTGACTTTTATGTCTTATAATCATGGACTCCGCCAGTAATCTTAGGATTGTAGCAGGGACTGCCAGATGATCGAACTAGCATAGATGTCCTTCGAGATATAAGAGGGCTTCTAGCAACAACAAGCCTTTTTTCCAAACTAGTTGGGTAAGGGTAAATGAAGCCAAACTACTTCAAATTTCAACCTCATGGTTGATGTTCTTAGTAATGTAGCTGGATTGGAGTACTGAGTTTGTGAAGAAATTGCAGATTTATTCTATTGTTACTGATAGGGCTGTGTTGAATTCGTGTTCTAAATTTTTCTTACATGTTTAATATATGAATTTGGGTAGAACTTCTGTCAAGTTTGTTGTCGGAATATGTTCTTAGTACAGATGCTAGATCATGTATTTTTTGCATATATATTGTGCTGTGTTTTCCTTCTGTTAAGTTTGTCCACTAAGTTATCTCTGAACAGTTTTCTATTATGACATCAATAATCATGGATTCATCGGCACCTTCCTCATTTTGGTGTTGCACAAACATAATGATTCAATCAGAAACAAAGATGTATATTCTTACGGCAAGAGATCATGGAAACATATCATATCATTGCATGCAGTTTTCCCTCCCAAGTGCTAAAAGACATTTTTAAGAACTTGTTTTCTCATCTATCCTATGTTACTTATAGAGCGACATATATCTCTGTTATACTTGCCTATTATCTCCTTCCCTTGTGACACGGTTTGGATCATTAGTTGATATATCGGGTAGGCTAACCTTTTTTGACATGCATGATCAGCGAAACTCATCGGCTCCTCCATGTCCAACGATATTTGTGGCTAATCTAGGACCAAGTTGTTCAGAACAAGAGCTAACTCAAATATTTTCAAGGTTTGTAGAAATTCAAAGTTTATGGATTTTTTATTACTTGAATTGAAGCATGGAGTAAATTATCATTTGTTTCTATTGACACTTGACAGGTGCCGTGGGTTCCTGAAATTGAAGATGCAGGGTACATATGGGACACCGGTGGCATTTGTTGACTTTCAGGTAGTTTCTGTCTCTAGATGACTTTTCTTTGGCTTGGTTTGGCAACTCTTGTTGAGCCTTTGTACTTCCATTAAGGATAGGATCTTTGAAACATAAGAATTACAGGGAGAAATATATTTTGAATTTCTTCATGTTCTCTCCATTCATGCAATAAAAGCATACACTTCTATGTATTCACTTTGATAGCTTTGTGGTAGACTTTGACTCAAGCTTATAGGAATTGTTATCTGCTTATAAGTTCTTATGAATGCCAAGATACCACAAATACCTGATATGCTAGGATGATAGTGCTGCTGCTCAATGTAGGTTCATTTTCCTAGGAGGAAGCCATGTGAAATGCAAGACATTACAGGGAAGCATGTTTGTGCTGATAATATATGGAGGCAATCTACAGGATCTGTAATTGGTTGTAAATGTGAGAATCTGCACATTTACGAACTCATTGCATTCCATATATTAAGAAAAGTGGTGGTGAATTGAAAGTCGATGATGTTGAAAAGTGGACAGTGAAGTCAGATGATCATAAACAAATACGACACGGGGACCAGGTTAATAGAGTTTTCATGTGTATTTTTTTGCTTGACCCAAGTATTTTGTTAGAGCCTTAAGAGGATGTCTTGAGTCAGTGTAATAAACATGCAGCGAGATTTACTTACACCAGGGGGAAGAGAAGATAAAGTGAACAACGGTGTTTTAGTATAAGTCGGTATCAAAGGGTAGTAAGCAGTCACGGAGGGTTAGTTGGGAGTGAATTGAATGGCGGTGAGGTCTGGATATAAAAGGGGAGGAGCATCCAATTTCTTTGTGATTGTAAGGACCTAACGGGCCTGAGGGAGAGTACCAACCTCCTGAAAGGTGTACAGCTAATAAATCAATAGTTTCTTTATGTGTCTTGTTGATTTGGTTTCTGAATAAACTAATAGAAAACCCCCCCGGGGGGGGGGGGGGGGATCTACAGGTGTTTTAGCAGAATCTAGATTTGCGATCTAGGATCTAGAATGGTATGTTATATTATCTTCTGCTGTGCTCAAGTTTCCACGAGACAGGTATGTCGATCAACAGGTCAAAGATTTTCACATGATCAGCGTAGGTAAATAGGTAGGATGTTTTGTGCTTGAAAGCAAGAGATGTTGACATCCCTATTTCTAAACTTCATGTTATGTCTACCAAGGAAAATGTCAGGTACAGGGCACCCTGATTGGATTAAATTAGTATTTTGGTCAAATCAAACGCCGTAGCCCTCTGAATGAAAGCTTACCCAGAGCGCCATAAAGACCTTTTCTTCAGTGAACGGCTCATTGTAGTCCCTTCATCTGAGATGCAGCCTGTAGCCAGAGGGAATATGTATTTTTTTTATGTGATCCAAAGTATCTAGTCAAATGACTGTCTTACCAGGGAACCTCGAATGCGCAGTTGAATTTTTGGAGTAGGACTAATCAAGAACCTCTGAGTGATCACATGCCATTAGAGTTCGTAGTGGAAGACTACACATATAAGCAGCCTTCCTTGCTCAATTGTTCATAGCTTAAATTGACCTCTTCGGCAATGACATTGCGTTTAAGTCTTAAAACATGTCATGTGTATATACCGAAATCATCTTTTTAAACAAGATGTTTTTATATCTAGAACATCCAGGGTCGATGGTCGATTATAAGATGCTGGTGGTGTTGCTTCTAACTTTCTTTTACACACCATGAATGAGGGAGTTGTTCCCTAGCACAGTGCATCAGATGATTCATTTCCTAATTATAAGCTTATCATTGTGTATTCGTTCCATATATAAACTTGCATATTCTTAAAATTTGCAATGTCATGTCCTCTGTATTTGTTCGACAGCCTTGACGTAAAGTTCACTAAATACTTGTTCATCATCCCATGTTATTATTGTTTACCATATTGCCCTTTGGGCCTCAATATTGGCAATTTGTGACAGTTACTTTACCTGAAACTGAAATGACGTGAAATGTTGAATTGCTGATATCCCATTTAACGTTAGTGATATTGAGATAATACCCATACTTCCCCTTGCAGGATACTGCCTGTTCAAGTGAAGCACTAAATCATTTACAAGGCACGGTCCTTTACTCATCAGTATCTGGCGAGGGAATGCGGCTGGAGTATCCTTAAAAACTGCATTTACGTTCTCTATTGACCTGTTTTCATTCATGCATCTTTATCTTTCCAAGACTATGCCAAGTGGATTCTTAAAACACCTCATTATCACTTGGCATATTGCATCAGTTTCGCTTGATGTGGGCATTATCAGCAACTGTAGATGAAATCCAGAAACTGAAAGTTTTGAACATTTTGCTTGCACTTTTTCCCCACTGTTTTTAAGAATAAGAATTTGTTTATACCGTCTGTACATGTTTGTGAAGCTTTTTCTTAACCAGGAATTTAGGTTTGCGAAATCGAGGATGGGGATGCGAAGTAAGAAGTCAAGGTAACTGTATGAAAGCAATGGGTCATCAGGTAATTTATTTTTTGTGCTGTTATCATCATCACATCATCATCATCCAGTAATCCGATTTTGTACCTAATTGGAACCGGGTTTTCTTTCTTTTTCTTTCCATTGAAACCTGATTAGTTGCAGAATTGGTTTTTAAGACAGTGGTCATAAGTTGATCCTTGTTGGCATTCATCATAAGTTTGCTTTTTGACCTATTTATGTAAGTTTTTATTTTTTATTCGAGTAAAACTTCAATTTTGGCTCAACTTTGAGAAGTCCAGGGATCATCTTTGTGGTTTTCATTTTGTTTTGAAAATAATTCCTGGTTTATTTTCTCAGTTAAAGCGAGGGGAATTTCAGTCTTTTCATCAAAATCTTTAATTTTTTTAAAAACAACATAACATTTTATTTTATATTTTGTATTTGTTTTCATTTCGAAATTTCTCTCAATCTGAAATTTGCCGTTTTTAAAAAAAAAATATTAAACATTTTGATGGGAAGATTGAAATGTCTCTCGCTCTAACATAGAACATAAACCGAGTTAACACAACCGGGAACCACTTTGAGAACAAAATAAAAACCATAAGGATGATTTATGGACTTATATAAAGACTAAAATTGAAGTTTTTACTCTTTTTATTTTTGGTTATTGGATAGAAGAGTTGAGGGAAGCAAGAGGTAGGTGCGCAAGTGGTATTAGACCATGTTTACTTGCACTCCCTTCAACCCAAATCTGATTTACAATATTACTTTTTCTTCCAAACATAATCTTCAACTCTAACTTAATCTCACGTCTTTTATCATTTAATCGTGATCCGATCTAATCTAAAATATATTTATGTAAAAATTATATATCTTATTTTTAAAATTTAAGTATAAAAATAGATTAAACGGGCCTTTGCATCTTTTTAAAACGTAATTATAATTATTAAAAACTTACCGTACAATTGAAATTAAATAAAAACAAGTCACAAACATAAGTACGAATTTACATATCTGAAATACATAAACAACCATGCTTAATTATTAGGACCAAATTTGTCATATATGCTCAATTAAATCATTTTTCAGAGAGTAATGAGCTTTCGAATTGTGATGTTGTTCCATGTTAGCCATAAACAGGATAGGTTTGCAATTCGTTTAGTAGAGAATTCAGTTGGTTGACCATCATCTTCGGTAGAGCTTCCTTGTTGATTTGTGGGCATGTCGTTAAGAAACTCAGTAGGACCATTTATGATTTTGGTATGTATCTTGTTCGTCTTCAACTATCGTATTATGCATGATGATACAAGCAATTATAATTTGTCCCATTCTTTGTTTGTCCCAAACAAGACATGGTCGTCGAATAAATGCAAAATGAGCTTGTAGAATTTTAAATCCTCACTCAACATCTTTTTTGACGGCCTCTTGAACTTGAGCAAACAACTTGTGCGTCCGCATTTGGGGAGATGTAACTGACTTGACAAATGCAGTCTATAAAGGATATACGCCAACAATGAGATAATATGTCATATCATTTTCGTGACCATTCATGACATAACTAACTTTTGGTGATCGACCTGCCAATACATCATTAAAAATAGATCGGTGGAGTACATTAAAATCATGAAGCAGACCTGGTGTTCCAAAGAATGCATGCCATATTTGTAAATCATATGATGCAATAGCTTCTGAAATGATTGTTGCATTTCTACTTCTTCCGGCATATTGTCTGACCCATGCACTCGGACAATTTTTCCATTTCCAATGCATGTAGTCAATACTATCTATCATACTCGAGAATCCATGTTCATCTCCAACACAGAGTAGTCCATACAACATTGCCAAAAGACGTTCTTTTAGCGGCTCCTCTCCTAGTGATGGGCGTTCTTTTGCCGACAGTGCATGTAGATTCTTGTGTTGTTCTTTTTCTTTTTCAAATCCTAGTTTTTTGGTCGTGATTTCAGATTCATTGTTTCTTGTAATGTTTAATGCATGAAATTCTTCAGAATAGTTAATAGTTGAAGAAGATTATGATGTCTTACATTTTCCTTTTTCTTTGTTGCATCTCTACCCATAGGATGTTGAATTGTTGAACCATCCATAGTTGGCGATTCTTGGTTGGTTTTGACAGAATAATCTTCTTCTCTAGTTGTTGATCTTTTGTGCTTCCATCAATTTATTCATTGCCCACTTCATATTCTGGGCGAGAACGTGTTGTGTCACGTTGTAACTGTAAATCCCACTTGGTATGTTTACACGTAACTTCGTTAAATACAAGCAAGTCATTGAACTTGCTTTCACTTATCTCATAAATTGCATGAGCTTCTTTCTCAACATATTTCATACTCATCCCACTTCTTTTTGTTGATTTACTTCTCTTTACACAACCACCCATTTGTTTGCACTCTGGTTAAGTCGCACAAAGCAGCCTTTCATTTGATTTATGTTCTTGATGTCCAGTCCTTTTGCGTTTTTTGCTTGAGCTTCGTCATAGTATTTATTCACTCATGACCAAAATGTTCGTTTCTTCTGGTCTTCGCCTCGAATAGGTTTTTCATTAACGTAAATCATGTTGACATCAACACCATATCTTCTTTGATTTCCCATTTATCGGCTCTTGAACTCTTTTGTGGAGATTAGGCATTTTCAGGGTTAGAAACTTGATTATTATTGATGAAAAACTCAAAGTTCTCATATTGTGTGTTTGGGTGATATTAAGAGTTATCTAGATGTTGAGAATTTGATATATTTTTTTTTTTTGGAAAGTTTGAATCCATAACAGAAAATTGAAATAAATTGTAACTTGTGTAATTTGCAAGATAATGAGAGTTATTGAGATGAAGAAAAAAGATTGGTGTGGTGAAGTAATGTCAATATTTTGGCTCTATTGGTAGTAAACCGAAAACCATGAATTTCGATATACTTTTTAATTTTTAATTTTTAATTTTTTTTTTGGTTACAGTCATTTTTTATTAGATAAATTTTAACCCAAAAAAATCTAACATCATCAATAGAAATCTGTCAGGCGGCAGATAAAACGGTTGAAAAGCCAACAATCTTTATTGGTTCGGACGGTGATATAGAGATCGAATACTTTTATCGTTTCATTTTTGTCCTATTCACGATGCCATGGTTGGGATCGCTGTGAAGGATGGACTCACGTGGGCATTATGATGATGTGCGTAGGCTATTATTGCCATATTTTGAGTCGTCACCATCATCAAACCGAGGGAGACCCATTGTCATCGTCCTTTGTGGGATTCACTTGGGAGGACCCCCTCTCTTATTCAGGTATACTTACTGCACACGTCATCTTCGTGTTCATAGGTTCTTTCAGGTTTCTATCTCTTAAGAACAACCCAGGTCATTACCATCACATGGCCCCCCCTCTCATCATCATCATCAATTTATCGTTATAAGCATCCCCAATGGGTCAACTTTTTCATTGGACTTCTTTTAAAAAAGAAATCTTTAAAAAAAGTTATATAAATTAGAGAACGAAAATTTCATTCTCTATTTCACAGAAGAATTTGTTGGAGTGTCACTTGTCTTATTGAGTGACCATGGTTAGGACCAAGAATCCAGTTAATGTTTATCTGATAAACATATTTATTCTTTGTGACGTCAGCTTATTGTAAAATTTCTTTTTTATCGTAGACCTGTCTCTGAAACTATTTTGAAGGGTTTTTCAAACAATTATCCTTGTCTATTTGAATGTCTTATAAAACCCATCTCTTAAAGAAAAAACTATCGTAAATACAGAAATAACTGTAATAAATCGTGTTAATTTGTGAAAAACCCATTTGTAACCTTTTCTGTAATAAGCCATAAGCTTAGATGGTCAAAAAATCTTTAAAAAGTATTACAAAAAGTTTCATTCTAGAAATTTTGGCAAACGGTAGGTGGTGAATATGAAAGTCAAAGACTACACTCAATCCTCTAACCTCTGGTAAGTTGAATTTTATTTTAATTTTGAAGGATTTCTTAAATTTAAAATCTAACAAGAGAAGTTGGTATTGTACAAGATTTTGTAAGATTTATATGTAATAATGTTTTAAAATATGTAAACATTTATTTTGTAATGATCAATTAATAAATCGGTAATTTTATTATTTTTATAATATTTTATAAAGAGCGGAGTTCAATTTTATTTTGAATCCTATAAACCAAACACATAAAAAAAATTCTAAATCCCTACGATTCCGATTCTTCCTCGAAATTCAAATTGCTTAGAACCATTCTAAGCGGAATTTGTAATTGAATTCTATTTCAATCTCAAGTTTGGTTAAAAGGAAAGTTTGGGGTTGAAATCCCACGATCATTGGGTTTATATATTTTATAAATGTAGTTGGTATTTATAGATTTGTGTGTAATAATGTTTTAAAATATATTAAAAACATTTGTTTTATAATAATAAAAATTAAAATTTTGTTGAAAATATGTTGTGGATATGAGTTGTTGGCCATTTAGAAAAAATGATTTGGTTGTTCAGTTAAACAATCACCACCAGAATCGTTTACTCTTCTGTATTATATCTTGTCTTTTGAATCCTTTTTCTCAATTCTATTTTATTAATTAAAATCTTTAATAAAAATGACATATATATATATATATATATATATTAGAAGCGTACTCGCGCAATGTAGCGAGATACATCGTGATTTTAATATTTCATTTTAATTTTTATCTCAATCGATGTTATAATATGACTTTATGTGATTTTGAGAAAACGATGATGTTTTTATTTTTGAATAAAATATATGTTTGAAGATATCATAAAA